GGAAAATATTGGACTTACCTAGAAATGAAGATGCTAGCCCCTTGAGATTCAATTGTTAGGAAGTCGATATTTAAATTTGTCTTGGCAGGGAGGGCTTGAGCAGATGAAATAAGGATAGTGATGAACAATTCAAGGCCCTGGGGTTTGGTTAGAGGAGTACCTTAATATATATTTTTTCCTTTTAATCTTCACCTGGGTATATGCTTATTGGTTATGTTTAATTTATTTTTTTAAATGTCTTTATTGAGTTTATTTTATATATGTATATGTATATATATATGTGTGTGTGTTTATATATATACACACATATATATATATTTGTATTGATTTCAGCAAGGAAGGGAGAGGGAGAGATAGAAATATCAGTGATGAGAGAGAATCATTGATTGGCTGCCTTCTGTATGCCCCACACTGGGAATTGAGCACACAACCTGGGTATGTTCCCCGACTGGTAATCAAACTGTGACCTGGTTCATAGGTTGATGCTCAACCACTGAGCCATGCAGGTTGGGCATCTTTATGGATTTGAGAGAGAGAGAGAGAGGAAGTGGGGGAGAGAGAGAGAAATAACATTGAGCCCTAGCTGGTTTGGCTCAGTGGATAGAACCTTGGCCTGTGGACTGAAGGCTCCTCGCCCTGGTTGGGGGCATGCGGAAGGCAACCAATCAATGTGTCTCTCACATCGGTGTTTCTCTCTCCCTCTCCCTCTCCCTCTCCACTCTTTCTAAAAAATTAATGGAAAAAATATCCTTGAGTGAGGATTAAAAAAAAGAAAAAGAAAAAGAAAAGAAATAACATTGATCGGTTGCCTCCTGTATATACTCCAACCGGGAACCAAACTGCAACCTGGGCCTGTGCCCTGACTGGGAATCCAGCCAGTGATCTGGTGCATGGGACGACACTCAACCAACTGAGCTACACTGGCTAGGGCTGCTATTGATTATAGAGAGAGAGGAAGGGAGGGAGAGAGAAAAAACATTGATGTGAGAGAGAAACATCCATTGGTTGCCTCCCATAAGTGCCCAACCAAGTAATCAAACCCACAAACTAGGTATCATGCCCTGACCAGGAATTGAACCCATAACCTTTTTAAAAAATATATATATTTTAATTGATTTTAGAGAGGAAGGGAGGGAGGGAGGGAGGGAGGGAGGGAGGGAGAGAGAGAGAGAGAGAGAGAGAGAGAGAGAGAGAGAGAGAGAAAGAAAGAAACATCAGTGATGAAAGAATCATTGATTGGCTGCCTCCTGCAAGCCCCACACAGGATTAAGCCCACAATCCGGGCATATGCCCTGACTGGGAATCGAACTGTGACCTCCTGGTTCATAGATCAACGGACGCTCAACCACTGAGCCATGCCTGCTGTGCTAAATCATTTATTTATTAATTATTTAAGTGAAATGAAGTTGTTAATAAAGTTTTAAATTCTGATTCTGCTAAAATTTCCATATCCTCCAGAGTCTAACTCATTTAGTGAAAAATCTTAACCTTCTAATTGGCCACTTGCAGCCTTTTGGCTTTAGGTTATTGATAATAAAGTGTGGCCTACTTTGTTACTGCTCCATAGCTTTGAAGATGGTCTTTTGGAAGGCAGATGTCAGTCTTTGTGTCTCCCGCCAAGTGTCACCAGGTGCTTGCATCACTTAGATTTTGGGGGCCTGCTTTCCGATAGGGCTGTGACCTTGGCTATGCTGCTTCATGCCTGTGAGCAGACATCTTGTTTTCTGCTTGGGTGTGGGCACCTTGCTCCAGCTGCCGCAGTGGGTTGTAGGTAGAGTGTGTTTGGGTCTGTGGGAGCAGGAGTCTGTCTTATCAGTCCATTCCTATTTGTTGTCTCCAGATATGTTCTGTAACGCATGCACAGATATTACACATCCTTGAGTGCCTTTATGATTTGTTTAATATAGATGGGATGCCTTATTAAATGGAGTTTTTATTTCTGTTTGGCTTGTTAAAAAGTCTGAAAACATTTTATTTTATTACAGATAGGTGAACTTCAGCTTTGCAAACTTGATGAACTAGATTGCTTAATAAAAGGAATTTTATACATTGATTCAGTTGGATTCAATGGACGGTCACAGTGCTATTACTTTGAAAACCCTGCTGATTCTGAAAAATGTCAGAAGTTACCGTTTGATTTGAAAAATCCATACCCTCTGCTTCTGGTGAACATTGGCTCTGGGGTTAGCATCTTAGCAGTATATTCCAAAGATAATTACAAGCGCGTCACTGGTACCAGGTAGGTCTTTTATATTCTTGATATCATATGGCTTAACACTGAGTTTTTAGGTATTGCATGTAAGTATACCTTTAAGAATCTGTTTAAAATTATGTAAAAAATAAAACTTTTCCTGGGATTATGCAAACAAATGTTATTTCTGTTTGAAATTTCTGATTTCATGACCTACTTTTCTTTCATCTGTATTGCTCCACGTTTCTTAAAATGTCTCATCAGCAGACTCATTAAGCCCGTAGTCCCTGCCCTCAGATAGTGTATGGTGTGCATATACCATAAAGTAAGCAAAGCTCAGTGGAGTGTATAAGGAGAAGGCAAGGCAAGATCCTAGATTTTGTACAAGCGTATAAACACACACATGTGCCCGGGTGCGCGGCCCGAGGATGATGTGAAATTTAGAAGTTGAGATATTGAGCAATAGAAAAATGATTGGGGGAGGGTGGTCTGAAAGGGAGAATTAGGTGGCAGATGAGAAAGGAATGCACTTTAAGGATCAGAGATCACTTGAAGAAAAACTAGGAGGTGGGAATGGGGTAAACAAGTTTTTTAACTGGTGTGAGTTAAGGAATGAAAAGTAATTTTTTGGGGGAAAACACATTCATGGAAGAGTTCTTGTTGGGTAGGGGGCTGATGAGCCAGGGTGACAAGATGCTTGAATGAGAAGAAAAAAAAAAGATGCTTGAATGAGGATGGCTTAGGGCATGCACTTGGAGAGAGAAAGGGAGGAGGCACCAACGTGGTCCTAGGTGTGATGGGCTGATACTACATACTTGAGGTTTCTCGAACTCAGCAGATGCCCAGACTGAACTGGAGACATGGGCGGAGAGGTGGGCCCTGTATTTTGCCATGTTGCTTGTTGGTGCACATGAATGCATACCTTCAAGGTGTCTATTAGGGACCTGTTTTTATCTTTTCACAGACTTATTTCTCACTGGTGGCTTCTGCACGATTGGGTTGAGGCAAGAGTAGATTGACATGTGAATATGGTTTTATAGTTCATAAATATTACCTTCCTATTGTAAAAAATGTTATAATCATATTATTTGTTTTCAATCACAGTCTTGGAGGAGGAACTTTTTTTGGTCTCTGCTGTCTGCTTACTGGCTGTACCACTTTTGAAGAAGCTCTTGAAATGGCATCTCGTGGAGATAGCACCAAAGTGGATAAACTAGTCCGGGACATTTATGGAGGGGACTATGAGAGGTTTGGACTGCCAGGCTGGGCTGTGGCTTCAAGGTAAGGGGACATGTGTTCTCTAAGAGATGCAGAAATAAAATACTAAATATTGGGTTGCCCTTGCCAGTGTGGCTCAGTTGGTTGGAGCGTCATCTGTACACCAAAAGGTGGCAGGTTTGATCCTTGTTAGGGCACATACCCAGACTGCGGGTCCATCCCTGGTCAGGGCACACGCGGGAGTCAACCCATTGATGTTTCTCTCTCACATTGATGTTTCTCTCTCTCTCTCAAATAAAATTAAAAAAAAATTGGGTATATCTTTTTCCTTTTAAGCAGTTTTACATATTATAAAGTCAACTGTTAAATGTGTCCAATTTATTGGTTTCTGGTATATTTACAGAATTGTGCAGTAATCACCACAATCCAATTTCAGAACATTTTTATCATCCCAGAAAAAAACCTGTATTCATTAGCTGTCACTCCACATTTCCCTACCCTACAGTCCCTCGTAAACACTAATCTACTTTCTGTCTCTATAGATTTGCCTATTCTGGACACTTGATATAAATGATATCATAGAATATGTGATTTTTGTGACTGACTTATTTAGCTTAATGTTTTCAAGATTCATCCATGTTGTAGCATGAATCAGTATTTTGTTTTTATTGATGGATAATATTTCATTGTATGGATATATAACATTTTATTTATCCATATATCAGTTGATAAACATTTGGGTTATTTAAACTTTTTGGTTGTGAATAATGCTGCTAGGAACATTCATGTACAAGTCTGTGTGGACATATTGTTTTGAATTCTCTTGGGAATATACCTAGGACTGGAATTGCTGGATCATGTGGTAACTCTTATGTTTAATCTTTTGAGGAACTGCCAGACAGTTTTCCACAGTGGCTGCACCATTTTACAACCCCACCTGTAATATATAAGGATTTAAATTTATCCACATCCTTGCTGACACCACTTATTGTCTTTTTGGTTTAAACTGCCTTAAAGGTGTCAAGTGATCTCTCCTGGTTTTGATTTGTATTTCCCTAAGGATGACTAAGGATGTTGAACATCCATCTATGTACTTATTGACTATTTGTCTACCTTTGGAGAAATGTCTGTTCAAGTCTTTAGCTCATTTTGTAGTTGAATTATTTGTCTTTTATTATTGAGTTGTAAGAATTCTTAATATGTTCTAGAAACAAGTACTTTATCAAATACAATTTTGTATTTGCAAATTTGTCATTTGCAAATATATTTTCCCATTCTGTTAGTTGTCTTCACTTCCTTGGTGGTGTCCTTTACAGCATAGATGCTTTAAATTTAAATAGATAAAAAGAAGTACATCTTATCTATGTTCTCTTTCCTTGCTTTTATTTTTTATTTTTTTTAAATTTTTTAAATATATTTTTATTGATTTCAGAGAGGAAGGGAGAGGGAGATAGAGATAGAAACATCAATGATGAGAGAGAATCATGGATCAGCTGCCTCCTGCACGCCCCCTACTGGGGATTGAACCTGCAACCCAGGCATGTGCCCTTGTCCAGAATCGAACCCGGGACCCTTCAGTCCCCAGGCCGACACTCAATCCACTGATCCAAACCAGCCAGGGCTCCTTGCTTTTATTTTTGGTGTTACATATAATAAATTATTGCCTAACCTTAGAATATGAAGATTTATTACTTTTGTATTTTCTTTCAAAAGTTTTATAGGGTTTAAAAATATATATATACTTTTTAAAAAATATATTTTTTATTGATTTCAGAGAGGAAGGGAGAGAGAAACATCAATGATGAGAGAGAATCATTGATTGGCTGTCTCCTGCATGTCCCCACTGGGGGTGATCGAGCCCGCCACCCGGACATGTGCCCCTGGCTGGAATTGAACCCGGGACCCTTCAGTCCGCAGGCTATCGCTCTATCCACTGAGCCAAACCGGCCAGGGCTAAAAAAAAATACATTTTTATTGATTTCATAGAGGAAGGGAGAGGGAGAGAGAGAGAGAAATATCAGTGATGAGAGAGAGTCATTAATCAGCTGTCTCCTGCATGCCTCACTCGGGGGATCGAGCCCTCAACCTGGGCATGTGCTCTGACCAGGATTCAAACTGTGACATCCTGGTTCATAGGTCAACGCTCAACCACTGAGTCACGCTGGCTGGGTGAGTTTTATAGTTTTAACCCTTATATTAGGTCAATGATCCATTTTGAGTTACTTTTTGTATATGGTGTGAGGTAGTGGTCCAAATTCATTCCTTTGTGTATGGATGTACAGTTGTCCCAGCACTATTTGTTGAATAGATCATTCTTTCCCTATTAACTTCTCTTGGCCCCTTTGTTGAAAATAGTTGTTCATAAATGTATAATTTATTTCTGAACTCAGTTCTGTTCCATTGATGTTTATCATTATGCCTTGATTACTGCAGCTTTGTATTACGTTTTAAAATTGGGAAGTGTGAGTCCTGCAATGTTTTTTCAAGATTGTTTTGGCTCGTCTGGGTCCCTTAACTTTCTGTCTAAATTTTAGGATCAGCTTGTCAATATCTTCAAAAAAGGACAGCTAGGATTTTGATAGGGATTGTGTTGAATCTGTAGATCATTTTGGAGACTATTGCAGCTTGACTGTAGTCTTCTGATTCAAGAAGATGGCATGTCTTTCTGCTTAGTTAGGTCTTTTCTTTCACCATTGTTTTTGTAGTTTTCAGTGTAGAAGTGTTATACTTTTGTTAAATATATCTCTAAGTATTTTGTTCTCTTTGATGCTATTGTAAGTTGAATTGTTTTCTTAATTTTATATTTTGTTTGGAAATAAAATTTTTGTGTGCGCGTTGGGGCACATGGTTTTTAATAATAGAAAAGGCAGTCATACACATGCTTGTTTACTAATTTTAGGTACTTTGTAAATGCTGTAGATTTCATTTTCTGTCTTTGCAGCATTTGCTTATTGGTAATTACTTCATTTTCTGTTTGGTTGGGTTTGTTTTCTGGTCACAGTTATTAATGTGCAGTTCTGCAGGTCAGGTGCTTTGAAGCTCTTAATCTTCTAGAGCAGTGGTTCTCAACCTTCCTAATGCCGAGACTCTTTAATACAGTTAGTTCCTCATGTTGTGGTGACCCCCAACCATAAAATTATTTTCGTTGCTACTTCATAACTAATTTTGCTACTGTTATGAATTGTAATGTAAATATCTGATATGCAGGATGTATTTTCACTGTTACAAATTGAACATAATTAAAGCATAGTGATTAATCACAAAAACAATATGTGTGTGTTTTCCGATGGTCTTAGGCGACCCCTGTGAAAGGGTTGTTCAACCCCCAAAGGGGTCACGACCCACAGGTTGAGAACCGCTGTTCTAGAGACATCTGAAACTGTTTGATTACTCTGGGACTGGTTGGCTATAGTTTGCTTTGTTAGGATAAAGCAGTTTACCAGATTTGAATGTGACTCTTTAACTGAATGGAACAGCTGGGCAGTTGGGAGGAATTGATTGCTAATAGAGGTATCTTTCTGGAATTTTCCCTGGTTGCAGAAGGAGCAGTGCTGCATTACAGTGCATCTGATGAAATCTAACAATATGTGCATATCTGGTATCAAAGCTCAATATATTTCAGTGGAAACCACAAGGAAAGCCATTTGCTCATTCAGAATGCTTGAGGGTTCTCTTTGAAGTGGTATTTCTCTTTGAGCAGATGCTCCTTTTTTTTTTTTAATGAAAAGTTTGAAGTTTTGAGTAACATTGCTCTAAAAGTCACTTTTATCTTAGTAAAGTAACATTCGAGTTCTGTTGGGCTGTGTTGCCTTTGGTTTATCAAAGGGATTTTTTTCCCCCATCACAGCTTTGGAAACATGATGAGCAAGGAGAAGCGAGAGGCTGTCAGTAAAGAGGACCTCGCCAGAGCAACTTTGATCACCATCACCAACAACATTGGCTCGATAGCAAGAATGTGTGCCCTTAATGAAGTAAGGGGACATGAATTTCTGTAGTTGCTCTGACAACATCCTAAGTGGGCCCCACCATGTATACAACATCTGTTTTGCCCAAATGGGTCTAATTGTAGTCATATGTAGTGGAGTTAGTTTCATTGGAGAAGTTAAACTCTTCACATGTAGATTAATCTTAATTGACTTTTTTTTCCCCCTTACTGAAAATAAACACTGCTACTATCTAGAAGGCAGGAAGGTAGCCAGATGGTGGGGGTACTACTATTGGGTGGTGATGATGGCTAGTGATGCTGAATCTAGACTCCATGCTCATTGTGGAGCTCTAGAATTCCTGGGAAGGAATCCAGAGGAAATCATTGAAGCTGGGAGAAGATTGAGCAGGCCAAGCACTGCCCACCCTGCTCCCCCTCCACCGCAGCAGAGCTGTCTTTGTGCTTTCAGCTTCTTTACAGTGCTGCCTTGTAGCATTCAGGTCAAGCAGCATTGTACAGGGCTATGAAAGAACCAAGAATGGCCTTCCCTTGGGGATCCAGTTGGTGCAATTTTATAGCTTGTCCCTATTTATATATTTTTGTTTAAAATTATTCTTCTAAACAGATAAGATAGACATGTGGCTTTAAAAAGGAACTCTTAAAAGGTACAAAAGAATTGTTTCATTTTAAATTAAAAGTCTGTATCAGCATCAAGTAATTAAAAAAATTCTTCATTTGACTATGTTAACACTATTTTCTTTATTGCATGTTCCCTTTCCTGTGCTTATGTATTTAAGATTTTAGTTGGTGTACATTTTCTATTTTTTACATAAATATAAACTTCATGGCTGTATGATTTGATTCCTTTTTATATAAGTCATTGGCATTTGGTTGCTTGCCAATGACAGCCCTGTGGTAAAGCATTTTAAACGTGAAACTTTTCCTTGGTGAATTTTATTCTTGATAAGGGACTTAATCAGGAATGAGGTTTTTCATCTAAAGACTATGACCGTGTTATGAATCTTGATAGGTATTGCCAAGGTGTTTTATTTGCAGTAGGGCTGTAGCAATTTAGATTATTTTCGGCAATAAATAAATGGGTCAGTTTTACCACAACTTGACTAATACTGGGGGTAGAATTTCAGTTAGTTGTTTTGCTAATTTATAGGTCTAAATTTTTTACTTTCTTTTTATCACTAGTGAAGTTGAATTTCTTTTCTGTTATATTTATTGTATAATTTTGCCTATTTGTGTCATTTTCCTTCTTTGAATTGGGTCTTTTTCTTTTACTTATCTGTACAAAACTTTAATAGTAGTTATTGTTTGTCATATTTAATACACATGTTTTTCCTATCTGTTTTCTCCTGTGATATTTTCTGTCATGCTTTCAAGTGGGTCCAGAGTTGTGTGGGCATCAAATTAAGTAGTCCTGGATCAATTGGATTAAATATAAATACTTTTTTAAAATCAGAAGTCAATTTGCTTCTAAAAACTATATGCACATGGTCTCTGTTTGGAGTAGATTTTATGAGAGAACTGAAATTAAGATGAAAACTAATTGCCTTCTTTTGATGTGCTCAGAATATTAACCAGGTGGTATTTGTTGGAAATTTCTTGAGAATTAATACGATCGCCATGCGGCTTTTGGCATATGCTTTGGATTATTGGTCCAAGGGACAGTTGAAAGCACTTTTTTCGGAACACGAGGTAAGCAGACTTATTTCCTGCAATATGTTACAGGGCATGCAGTTCACATTGTGTTGGAATTTGAAGTAGAGGTGAAATAGTACTTACATATTTTTGTAATTATATGATATTGGGTTTAACTTTGATTGTAATGTTTAAAAGCTCTTTCTTACCCAATTCAATGCAAGGTACAGTTTTGGTTAATCTCATTGTGAGCTTCAGCAATATTAAAGAAGTCTTCAAAAAAAGCAACAACATATATTATTGATTTCAGAGACAAAGGGAGAGGGAGAGCGAGATAGAAACATCAATGATGAGAGAATCATTGGTCAGCTGCCTCCTGCATGCCCCCACCAGGGATCGAGCTGGCAAACCGGGCATGTCCCTTGACTGGAATTGAACGTGGGACCTTCGGTCTGCAGGCTGATGCTCTATCCACTGAGCCAAACCAGCTAGGGCAAGAAAGAAGTCTTAACATTCAGCCATATTTCTGAGCCATCATTATATTTTTCCCATTGTACTTTATAAATGCACTTACTCTGGGTTCTGCTTTTTTTCATTTTTTTATGTCAGTTTTTATGTATTGATATTTTCACATGCCATTTATTTAAGATGTCTGTTCTGAAAAATAGATCAGTAAAAAACATTCCAGGACTAGAACCACAATATCATAAAAACTTAATATGTAGACAGGCTAGAAATGACACAATAGAAAAGAATCATTGAGTTGCTCAACCTGATGTCTTCTTTTGGAAAATGCCTTTTTGTTTCTTCAGTTTTGGGAAAAAATAGAACCAGAGCTATGGAAGGGGCTCCCTTTTTCCTCCCCTTGGTTGTGGGGCAGTTGAACGATTTCAAGTGTTGTTGGATTTTAGATAGTGGTGTTATTATCATGAACATCTTTTAAAATTATATGTGCACTTTTAACAGTTTATATGAATCAATAGAAATCAAAGTAGGATGTAAAGTGCTATAGATTGCTTTTCCTTTAAACTAGCTTTAAATTTGTCTTTTAAGTTGATTAAGTTCATAGTTAAAACCCAAAGTGCCCAACTTCCCCATATCAAAAGCTTAAAGTTCAAGACATCTAACTTATTACTTCTAATGTTATATTAGTAAATCAGTACTGAGTTATTTTTATACCTTAACATCTGCTTTTTGTGAACTTTTACTTGTTTTGTTTTGCTTCATATTAGAATAAAAAAGTCATGTTTAATAAAACTTTTCTCCTGAATTTCTACCTCTTTTTGAACCTTTTCCTAGGTAGATCCTGGAGATTAACTTCTTATTTATTTTTTATGTTTTTAATCCTCACCCAAGGGTATGTTTATTATTGATTTTAGAGAGAGAGAAAGCGCATCGATGTGAGAGAAACATCGATTGGTCGCTTCCTGTATGTGCCCTGACTGGGGATCGAACTTGCAATCTTTTTGGTGTATGGGATGATGCTCCAACCAACTGAGCCACCTGGCCAGGGAGGAGATTAATTTCTTAGGGTAACTTTGTAAAATTTTTTTAACTTATATCTTCATATCACAGTTATAATATGAACCCTTTATGAAATTTTGATTTTTATATTGTCATTTTTATTGCCTGCAGATTTAATTTTCCTCTCTGGTTAGTATTGCTGGTCCATTCGTCTCTGTTTTCTATTTGCATTCAGGCTTCTGACTCTCGTGTTGATTTCTGCACATATGGAACTTAGATTATTTTAGGCTCTCTGAAGTCTTGAAATACAATTGACCCTTGAACAATATGAGTTTGAACTGTGCAGGTCCATGTATACATGCATCTTTTTTCAGTAAATACAGTGGCCCTTTGTACCCATCAGTTTCGTATTCATGGATTTAACAAACTGAATCAAAAACAGTATTTTTAAATTCCCAAACATGAATCAAAAATATTGGGCTCTGCAAAATGGGTGCTCAGAAAAGGGTGTCAGGAATTAAGGGCAGTGTTGGCTTTAACATAATCATATATATGGCAATTTAAATAATTCTAAGGAGAATTGCTCTTTTTTTGTGTATTTTTCTTTCAGGGTTATTTTGGAGCCGTTGGAGCACTCCTTGAGCTGTTGAAGATCCCCTGATCATTACCTGGGGAGGGGGTTCCTGGAACCTTCCACAATGGGATCTGTGAACTTTTGTTTTTTTTAAGAGACTTACTTAATTTTATGATTGTGTATTACCTGAATCAAAGCAAGAAAGGACAAGTGGATTTTTCTAAGTCATCAAGACAAACCCTTAAAAATTCAGCCTAAACTAGTAACCAGTAAGGAATGACATATATGTATATGTGTATATATATAAAGTGGACCATGTCCATGGCAGTGAGGATTGGCTATAATACCTGCTATATATTTTTGAAACTCAGTGTCACTCACTGGAGCCACTTCAGGGGAGAGCTATTCTGTGTTCAGCATACTGTGTTTTGGGATCCTGTTGAACTTGCTAAATGTAAGGAAAGCTACTATGTGTTATATAATCTAATCACAGTTTTGACAATATGGCCTTGGAGATCATCTCCTGTGCATTAACTCCGGTGAGCATTTAGCCTTTGTGTGAACATATTGAAAAATGTTTTATTTCAAGGTTCTGCAAACTTAATTGGGCAGGTTAGTTCAATACCTGTAACTTGGACAATTGAGCAACTTTTAGAAGGACAATTGCAGGTTACTTTATACCATAAATCCTAGGAAGGTCTCTTTGGAAAGACAAGATTTCCTCCGTGAACAGAATTACCTTGAGTATTGGGCTGATGGAAGTAAGCTACTACAAAAGACATAATCTGGAAAACTAAAACCAGACAAAAGGGACTGCTTTTTTTTCTTCCCCAGGGAACTGGGGAGAGAATCTGGTTACACTTTTAGGCAAGTAGAAACCAAGGAATTGAGGTGTCCATTAACTTATGGGGAGCAGGGCGAGGTTCTTCCCACCTTTCTCACCCACTCCTGGTCTTGGCACTTAGCAGCCCCAGGTGCAGCCCTGATTTCTCTGGTAGGCTGGCTCAAAAGGCAGCTTGAGAGACAGGTTTTGAGCTGAGTATTAATATAGATTGACTTTGGACCTTTTCTTTCTGCTGTGCAGAATAACTTTTAAAAACCTTTCCCTTAGAGATTGAACTATGTTTGTGTCTTACTTTGTGTCTTATTTGGTGCCTGCATCGCTGTTGAAGGCAATGAAGGTTTGTATAAAGTGGTTTTTGAACTAGAAAGAAACTCCAAGGTTCTGGGGCCGCCTTGCGCTTTCGCCCCTGTGGTCTCGGCCAGGAGGCTGGCCTGGGAGGGTTCTGGGAAAAGGAAGGGTGCAGAGGGCGGGGCTGGGTCGTTCAGGTAGGAGGTGCTTGGGCCGGTGCTCCTCCCTGGTCGGCTGGGATCCTTTGGCCGCCTGTGTTGGCCGCGTGGGGGCAGCAGAGGCCCGTGCCCATGTTTGTGAGGGCATGGTCATTTCTCCGATGGTGGCCACTTTTGTGCACGGTTCCGGCACCCGTGGGTTGAGGGTGCTGCTCCCTGATGCAGGCCGCAGAGCTGGAGGGACACTGCGGGAGATGGAAATTGTAGCCCTTGGGTGGCATTTGGGTCTCCCTGCTGCTGCCCCTTCCTGGCCTCAGCCTGAGCCCCCACCCCTCACCCCCTATCCTGTCCTCTGTTCTCTGTCACTTGCAGATACGCACTTGGTGGCTCCACCTTTCCCTCACAGCCACCACCGACAGTGCTAGTACCCTTTCGCTGGAACATAGTCGTGTTTCTCAAGCCCCTCTTGTCCCAGGCCGTCTCTGCTTCCTTGGGTGGAGAAGGTAGAGAAGGGGAGGGAGCCCGAGCCATTTCTAGTGGAGACCCAGGCCCCACCTCCTGTGTTGTGGGTCCCGCCTGTGTTTTAGAGGCTGTGCCAGTGCTTTACGTGGGTTGTTTCATGCAGCTGTTGTGACCTCCACAACTCAGCAAACCCGCCTGAGGTCACAGGCAGAGTCCCCTCTCCTTTCTGCATTTGCCTTCTACCTCCGAGGGTCCAGTTGCCACTCACTTTGTGGGTGGTTCTTAGCTCACACTGTCACTCCATGAGAGGGCTCTTGATAGGTCCACTGAGTCTCGTTACTAAATCTAATAGACATTTATGTCCTCGCTTTCCTCAGTTCTAACACAGTGGAGGATCTCTTGCTTTTCCTTCTGCCTTCCAGACCCCTTTGTCTCTGCCAGCTCCAGGCACAGTCCTGATTCCCCTAAGCAGTCATCAGCACTCACCTTGACTCTGACTTCCAAGGTACTATGCCCAGCACCTCCTCTGAGCTCCAGTCCTTCCCTTCTTTCTACTTGTCTATCTCCAAGGCCATCCCTACACAGAAGTATCCACATCCTTTCCCCTGCACCCCCCTCATCTTCTTCACTCCCTCCAGCTTGAGATGCACGTAAACTCAATCTCCATTCACCATTGCCACCACCCTAGTTTAAACCACTGCCATCTTATCTCAGCAGTTGTCCTTTGCAATCTGCCCTCCAGATGGTAGCCTGAGGGCCCCACCCCACGCTCCCCACTAGAGGCCTACACGAAAATGGGAGCAGTAGATGGCCCGGTGGGGACAGGTGGATGGTTAGAGGGTTGAGTATTGGGATGTGATGATAGGATATGGTGGAGGAAGTTTCTGTAAGGGCATAAGCTTACTGGGGGGGGGGGGGGGTGGTTTTGAGCTGCAATTGATAACAAATAGCAACTGGATATTTGGGTTGTAGATAACTGGTGTATGTAGGTGGGCAAACTGTAGGTGGGAATTTAGTGAATACCAAGGTAGAGTGAGAATAACAGTTGATGGGCAGAGAAGGGAAAGGCTGCGAAGAAAACTGAAGCGAGGTCAGAGGGGGCTGCTGGGGGTCTGTTGCTCAGGAGACAGGGGAGAGGAGCCCTCCAGACACCTGCATTGAGGGTTAAGAGGAGGCCCAGAGATGGCCTCGATGGGAACAGTTTCCCCAAAGCTATGGGGCAGAAGCTGATCGATCCGCAGAAGTCCTAGCAAGGGTTGGTGAGGAGAAATACCAGCTACCACAGGGTGACTTTGGACCGAGAGATGTTTTTTTCCTTCCTAATAGAAGTTTATTTGCAGGTCTGGGGTGTAGTGAGAGGTGTGAGGAATGGCCTAGTTCTGACACTTTACTCCCCTGAGACTAGTGCCTGTATTTTGGAAACTACCTGTGTCCAGCCGCATCTGCAAAGCTGAGGCCAGTGGCAGGTGAGGCCTTGGCTTCTCTGCTTTCTCCCTCACTGTGGCCTAGTGCTTTACTCGTCACCTCTGACCTTCACTCCACACCGTGGGGGGACCGGCCAGGAGCTCCTTCATCACAGTCACCTGTTGCTGTGCCCTACTCACCTTGACTTTCCCACTCTTGCTACACAAGCTTACGTGGGGCGTGAGTGTCCACCAGTGGGTACATGATTAACATTAAGTAGTTTTCAAAATCTGCTCTTTATTTACATTTAAGTCAATTACATGCATGTTTTATTTTTAAAACAAGAGTAATTAGCAAAAAATGCATTAAAACTTTAAAATAGCAATTAAATATACAAAAATATAGCTTACAAAAAACTGCGAATGTTTAAAAATATTCTGCTGCAGAATTCTTAGTGTACAAACACGTCTATGAAACCTGAGGCTCAGCATTTCATAAACCTTTTATTGAGGGAGTTACATAATGTCTAGTGAATGAACCCCAATGGGCTAGACTACATGGCTAAACTACCTTCCTTCCTGGCAGTGATCTGTTACCAGAGACGACAATGATCAGGAACACTATCTTGGAAGACGGTGTCAGCAGGAGGGACTTCAACACTGGTCCCATCTGCCTCCTTTTTCTCTCGGAACCTGGGAGGGAAGGAGCAGACAGGGACGGTGTGCAGCTGGCCCACGGTGCTGACCACCAGGCTTGTACTGGCATAGGAGCTACATCAAAGTACAGACAAGTCCCTTAACATTGGCAGGCTCCCTTTCTGAGTACATGCCCCTAGAGCAGGCAGGGTGTTCTCCTTGTCCCTGTAGCCACAGAAGTGAGCCCTGGATTGGTAAGCAAAGAATGCTGATGTTTGATCTAAAACGGAGAAAACAATTAGCATCTTGGAACAAGTGGGCTCCAAAACAACTGGAAAACTGACCAAGCCTTTCTATGTTCCTCTTGATACTCTCAAATGGAAGCACATTAATCTTATCTACTAAAGAACCATGACCCAGCATATTCTAGTTATCAACTGCAAATTTCACCTAAATTTATACACTGTTAATTTAGACATGTCCTTTACTCAAGTTCTTAACAGCTAACGTGAAAGACTAAAGAGATTCATCACATGACAGAAGGGTGGAGGTTCCCTGCAATTCCTTTTCAAGTTTCAGGTCAGGGGCGCAAAAGCACTGAATCTGGGGAAACTGGGTGGCAGGACACTGGGAGGTGGGTGAGGACCAAGAGGCACCAGTCCATGGCCCCATGGCTACCTAAAGGAAGCTTTAATTTCCATATTCTCTAGGGGCAAAAATGAACTTAAAATATTTCTTAAAAGGTGGGGAATGTCATTGAGTGAAAAGTGTTGGGCTAGGAAAAAACTAGGGGAAGCATGTTTTAGAGTGGGAAGGGGAAGGAGCCTGACCCATGTACCCGAACATCTATGATTGACCACCTACTTGTTTAGCAACATCTGAGACAACTGCCTCACGAGATAGAAAGGTGCCTCAGCCTTCAGTTGCTGCTGCTGCTTGAACTCCTGCCTCAAAAATGGGTGCTCGCCTAAGAAAGCAAGAGAGTTAAGAGACATCACTGCTGCACTCAGGCTTCCCTTGCAACTAGCCAAGATGGTGTGGGGCAGCTTGTCCAGGTGGCTGCAAAATTGCTGGGCCTGCACTGCTGCTCTTGGCTACAGCCTGCTCTTGTGTGTCCTGTCACAGATCAGCAAGTCTGGAAACTGGTTGTGCTTCAGGGAGGGACTGCAGTTTCTGATTTGTATAGAAAACTAGAATTCCAGTGTGCTGCAATCAATAATAAAAAAGCCATTTTCAAAAGGAATGTGATTGTAAAAGGATCATCCCCCATTCTGGGCTCACCTTTTGCAGATATTCTGACTTCTGGTACAGCTCTTCCCATATGAATAGGAATGCTCCTGAATGTACTTCAGTATCACATGAGCAAAAACACCCTCCCCCTCCGCACACACACATACATACACGTGTGTGCACTTGTATATACATAAATGACCTCTGGGAGGATACATAAGGAGCAAAACTAGATGCTCAAGGGGTGAGAAGCTGGGCTTGCTGGAGGTCAGGGATACAAGGAAGACTTGATTTATGAACCGTGGGAAGGGATTACCTATTCAGAGTTAAATTTTAAAAGATATCCACAGTAAGCAACCAATCAGGGAGCACTGTGCAAAGGCAGATGGAGGTGAGGGGAAGAGGAAGGGAGCCAGCAGACCTGGGACAACAGGAGCCCACATGACCTGCGTGTCAAATGCCCATTATCTGCTCCCATGACTCCGATCTGTCACCTGCCAGGCTCTGGACACAGCTAATCCTTGCAAGGGCCAGTAGATAGACACCAGTATAGTCCCTGGGTGATGGATAAGAGAACTGACAGAAAGGCACCTGGCTGGTGAGTGACAGAGATGCTTCAAATCAGTCTGATCACTTTTTCTGTCCAGAGCTCTGGGGATGCCTCCCAGTAATTTCTACAGTCATTAAGAATAGCTTAACAGAGTGGAATGAGGTCATGGAGATGACAGACTTTGGAGTCAGACTGTGGAAAGGGCCTGAGGTTAGGATCCAAGGGGCTTGGCATTGGGGAAAAGACTCATTTGTCAAGACTTGTGAAGAACTGGCTATATGACAATGGTGGGAGGTCCCTGGTATCCCTCAGCCCAGATGCCCTCATCCATGGGCCACCTGTTCCAATTTGGTCATTTCTGTCTTGTCCTGCTCCCTTCCTGGAATAGGCCTAACCAAGTCACAGTCTCAAAGTAAATATAACAACCAAGAACCAAGTCAGGCTGGTTTTGTTTCATTTCTAAAACGAGGTGAACTCCGGGCTGAGTTCTATTCCACTAACCCATGGCACACAAGTAACGTCCAATCTTGGAGCTACTTAAGATGTTAAAAAAAAAATGTTAGCCAGTGGCCCAAAAGCAGATCAGGGTCCCCACGTGTCTATAGATTATCAAAAGGTCACCTACTCAGACAGATGTGGACAGCAGCCTCACTGTGAGGTGTGAGCCTGAGCCGAATGTATTAAGGGATCCTTGACTCATTCTTTTAAAAAAGTCCAGATGGAAATTTACCTTTGTCACACAATGCTGTGACTAACCGCTGCTAGCCACGTGCAGTACAGGGAAGTGCTGGAGGAGGGCCCAAATGTGGGTGGCAAATGCATTCAGGTTGTGTTGCTAACTGCCAAGTGACAATGGCTATGCTGCAAAAGGACACCACACCAAGAAAGGGGAGATGACTGAGCAGAGCGGGCACTCGGCACTTCAATGTCCAGCCCCATCGGAGTGGAAACGCTGCATTTTTAAAAGCCTCCCCACATTCACAAGTGTTGAGGTCATATTAGTGGCACCTCCTGGGGCAAAGCAGACCCACTATGGTGCCAAGTGGAGAGGGCACAGCCTTCTCAAGCTTTCCTCTAAACTGTCTGGCTTTGCACCTCTGGTCCAGTGCATACCAATGACCTCTGCTTTTAGCTGTGACACAGTGAAATGAATTAATGAGCCTCCCTATAAACACAGGGACTTGGTGAAGCTGCCTCCTTGTTACTGACACAGGGACAGAAAAAGGCTGCAACTGGAAGGCTATAATCCTACAGAGCAGTATAGAGCACAAGCATTCCTCTGAGGGGAAAAAATTCTCTTTCTTATTCGAAGCCCATAATGACAAGATGACATTTGTCTCAACGCCATTCCAGGGAAAATGATGGGTTGGTGGTCATTAACTAGGCTAGTCCAGAAGCAAGCCTACTTGTTCACTAACAATATTTCACTGTAAACTGGGTGCTTTGCAGCATTCAATTCTATTATGCTACAGAGAACGCAGAAACAGGGTGAAAGTCCAAGTGTACAAATAGTTCTTTTCATGGGTGCCAAACAGGCTAAGGCTTTCATATAAAAATATTCCACACTTTACTTGCCCTGTTTAAGAAACAGTCCAGTTGGCATACCATAGGAATACCATACGCTAGGTCACACGGAAACAGCCAATTCTGACCAAGTGGACTTGTAATTTTCCAAACTGGATTCTGCCCAGCACTTTCCTAGGCTAATAGGAATTTTCCTCATCCTTTGACTGTAGCTACCTGAGCCACGGACAGGTTCCCTTTCCCATTCTAAGACAGTAGAGGCTGGATTCCAGAAAAAGTTCTTGGATAAGTGCCATCATCAGAATTGCAAAGCTTCCTCCATCTCTCCATACCATGCAGACAGCATTTCCAGTGAGAAACTGCCCCCCCTCACACCTGTGAGGGAGCAGAGGCAAAGCTGATGACAAGGAACCCATCCCTAGAATGGAAGGAGATTGAGAACAGGGCTGTGGAAAAGAACTACAAAGTTCTTAGCTAATTTATACAATATTCATGAATCTAAAGGACTCTGAGTCACTTCTAGAAAAGTTGGACAGAAAGAGCCAAAGAGTAACATGCATTTCTCTCCTATAAAGATACTTGCAATAGCAATTAGTTTTCGCAAGTCCGAATACTGAGGCACACACCAGTGAGTGAACAGCCCTGCAGGAGCTTCCTGAAATTATTTACAATTTCAAGTGGGTCCCTGGCTAAAAAATTACAGAGGGATCTTATTTGGGATGTTTTAAGTCATTAAAAAGTCAATGCCAGCATTTTCTCTGAAGTAGGAAGAGAGAGGGCAAGAAGGGGAAAGAGGGTCAGCATCCTCCTGTCTCAGCAGGGCCAGGAGGACTAGCCATTCTCAGCTGTCTGAGGGCTCCCAGGGGCTCCCTCCCAAGACAGTGAGCCAAGACCAGCAGCTATGCTGCCCCCTGGGGCACACAGGGACAGCAAGGGCTCAGAGGCCCAGGCCCACGGGGGCCCCTGATGGGCAGCTTGGCTGTGCCTCACTGGTGAGGTGGGTGTGGAATAAGAGGAAATGGCTTCTGACCAGGCCTTTCCAAGCGCATCTAATATGGCTTCTGATCAGGCCTTTCCAAGCGCATCTAATGTTTTTAGCTTAGGTAACTTGATAAGCAGATGTAAAACAGGGAGAAGTGATGGTGAGGGGCACTGTAACCACAGCCCTTGGGTTCCAAGATGATTTTATCAAAGGAATATAAGGTGAAAAGCCTTTGTTGGCACTGTCTCACCAACCAGGCAACCGGTCGTGCTTCGGCTGAGGTAACCGCTGGTTTTGCTTGGCTCAGGGGCTGCCGGGAAGGTTTGCTGCTGCTCAGGCATGCACAGTCTGAATAGAAGCTCATCTGTCCACAGGGCGGGGTGTGGGTGGCTTTAAAGACCTGCCCTCAGTTCCTTTCTCTAGCACTTGTGTTTATCTTTCCCTTCTGCTTGACAAAAGTCACCTGACATGGAGAGAAGTGTCTGGACGACAGCATGTAATTGAGTTGGCAAGAGACTCTCATGAAGCTCCTTGAACCAAACCTGCAGGCTCATTTAACTTCTCTTCTCTTGGCGTGGGACATGGGTACTGTCAGCTTTGGTTGTCACATGACCCAGAAGTCTGGGTCTTAGCTTAGCCGGCCCAGGAGTTTTTCATGAGGCAAAGGAAGTGGCAGCTGGTGCCTGCATGTGTGTTCCGCCTGCCTCTGTGAGCGTGGGTCCTGCAACAGTTTGATCCTGTGGTGAGCTATACAATGTTCTCTGCCCCTGGCAGGGGCCCCTGTGGGGGTCCACGGTCCTGCTTACTGTGCAGCTGGGCCAGCTGCAGAACTGGCATGTTGCACAGTGGACACACTTTCCGAACCTCCAGCCACTTAATAAGGCACCTGCAGAACGAGACACCACAGGAGGGAAGACATCAGTCCCATGCTCACGGTACACCAGCCCGCCCACCCGCCCACATATTTTGCATGTTGAACACATCTGTTGCCCAGGACAGCCAGGTCCTAACGAGCTCCACCCTCCATGGAGAACCCACTTTATCCTCTGGAGGAGCCAGAGCTCCAAGCATGCTACCCCCTCAGTCATCACGGTTTCTTAAAGGAGGAAGTACAGTGAGGGTGGTGCAAAGTAGGAGAAATGACACTTTCTAATAGACATGCAAAATGCATAAAATTGCAAGAGAAGAGGGAATATGAATATGTTTGCAAGAAGAGGGAGGAGAGAGCCCGACACTACCATTTACATTCAGACTCATCTATCTTGATTTAAAATAACTAGTTTTGATTAACGTAAGTTTTTTGGAGTGGAAGCTCTCATTAGAACATTCCATTAAATAGTGGTTTTATAACCTGGGCTCCCAGGAGGTGTGGGCTTGTCTGGCATTCTGCCCAAAGTCCTGCTGCGGTGCTCATGTTCCACAACCCCAATACCTCCAGTGCCATGTACACATACCCCACCCTGTAGGGTGCTTTCTGCACTGTAGACCAATCATGAAGCCTTCAAGCTTGTCTGGCACTGTTCCAAGCCCACAAGTAAGTTGGTTGATGTGCCTCAAACTCAGGTTCCCTTAAATAGTTCCATGCCAATACTTACTTTCTGTGGAAGGCATGCTTACACGGACAAATCCCCAACTCATCTCGAGGCTTGAAGTCTTCTAGACACACTGCACAGAGCTGAAAGATAAATTCACAGATGAGGAAAAGTATCTGCTAAGCACTCTCCCAGGTCACAAAGTAAAGTGCAGGCCCCTGAGGCCCAGCCATTTGAAGGGGTTTACAATGTCCCACAGTTTAAGTGAAAGAAAGAGGCTGACTGGGCAAGGTCTTCTGAAGAGCCTCCTGCTCTTCCTGTCACATGTCTTCAAAGATGAAGGGCAGGTGGCAGAAGAAAAAGCAAAAGGCAGTTTCCTTTGCTTTAGTGAATCAGAAGGGTCTGACTTAGGTTAGTCCTCACTAGCTAGGCTGGACATGATGGGATCTGCCTGTGGTGTGCCCAGGGGCTGACTTTCTGCAGGGGTGCTCTGCCTGCTCAGCAGCATAGCTTCTGTCAGGGACTGCTCATGCCCCGGGGCAGGCCCTGGGGCTCTCCTTTCTCTGGTAACATGCCCTCACTTTGGCACTGTCCTTCTGTCAGTATCTGTCTTTGTCATATAAAATGTTATTCAAGCCGAAACCGGTTTGGCTCAGTGGATAGAGTATCGGCCTGCGGACTGAAAGGTCCCAGGTTCGATTCCGGTCAAGGGCATGTACCTTGGTTGTGGGCACATCCCCAGTAGGAGATGTGCAGGAGGCAGCTGATCGATGATGTTTCTCTCTCATCGATGTTTCTAACTCTCTATCCCTCTCCCTTCCTCTCTATAAAAAAAAAATCAATAAAATATATTTTAAAAAAATGTTATTCAAGCCTGGCTGGTGTGGCTCAGTGTTTGAGCATTGACCATAAACCAGGAGGTCTCAGTTTGATTCCTGATCAGGGCACATGCCTGGATTGCAGGCTCAATCCTCAGTAGGGGAGTGCAGGAGGCAGCTGATAGATGATTCTCATCATTGATGTTTCTATCTCTTTCTCCCCCTCCCTTCCTCTCTCTGAAATCAATAAAAACGTATTTTAAAAAATTTGTTCAAGAGTCTCTGAATTAAACTGGAGAAAATGTGCAAATGTGGCCAGGACAGCTGACAGGTGGCCAGGCTCCACAGCTTTGAACAGGCTTCTCCTTCACACCCAGAAGCTGGGGTTCAGCCACCACTTCTTGAACACTTACCAGTGCACAGGGACACCAACTACCACCACTTTTACCCATTTTACAGATGAAACAGAAGCTCAGAGCAATCACCATGTTTCCTGAGGCCATGCAGTTGGTGAGTGTGGCTGGGCTGGGTCCCAGGTCTCCTGCACTGATGTGCTGTATTCCTTCTCTCTTGCTTCCCTGTCCTGGTTCAACCATGAACATTTCTTGCCCAGACTGATGACATGGCCTCTCTTTCACTTGTTTATAACCTACGACATGTAACCCAGTCTTCTTAGGTTACGTGACAGGACATGTGGCTCTTGGTGCCCCGTGGCCGTTGCCATGAATGTTGGCCTTCCAACATTCTTCCCTCAGGGCCTTGGTATATAGCAGACAGGATCTTCAGGAAGGGGAGAAAGAGTAACTATCTTATCAGGCTTGGCATTACTGCCAAGACAGTAGGAGTGCAGGGAGGAAGGCAGGACCACTAGCCTTGGCTTGGACACCCACTAGCTGCGTGATCTCTGCCATTCTGATGCCTCTCCAGCTCTGTTCCTTCATCTATGTAACGTGAGGACACTACCTGTCCACCTCCTTCTTAGGACTGTTACCAACTCAGGCTGGTGGGACCAGAGCTGAGGAGGCAGTACGGCAGTCTACCAATATCAGTGACTTTTATCCCAATGCTGCAATCGGAGCACTATTTTCAAGCCCATTTTATTCTGGAGGAAGTTTGAGAACACGCTGTTGGTAAAGATGAGACTCTAGCAGCTCTAGCTTTGGAGTGACCTTTTGGGACCTCAGCTTCCCACCTGTAAAGGGGGAATGATGTTCCCAACTCCTGGCTGTGTAATAGGCCTTATGGCCTTAAACACCCAGCTTCCCTCCCGGCACAGCCTTCCGAAACACGGTCAGGACTGCTGGCTCCGATCCAGCACGGATCCTACCAAAGGACAAGAAGTTGACAAGTCACTCATTTTTATTTGCTTATTTTTCCAGGATTCCTCATTCTAAAACCACAGTCACCTGAAAAAAACACATCCCACAAGATAAATTCTGACATGTTAAGTGCTAAAGGGACCAAAAGTCAAGGACAATCACAAAGAGAAAAGCCTTGGGTCTGACTTCTTAGAAGCTCCCTTGAAGGGTCAAACTAATTTTATAACTTTAAAAAATATATTTTTTAATTGAGTTTTTACAGAGAGAAGAAGAGGGAGAGAGAGAAACATCAATGTGAGAGAGAGAATCCAGTTCCCTCCTGTATGCACTCTGACTGGACAGGTGCCCTGACTGGGAATCAAAATGATGACCTTTGGGTGTATGTGATAATGCTCAATCAACTAAGCCACACCGGCCAGGGCCTAATTTTACAACTTTAAAGATCACATTTTGCAAATGAGCTTTACTTTCCAATATGGTGTCAGAGCAACTAGACATCCATAGGCACAGAAGCATGACATGATCCCTAAAGCACAGGCAATCAAAGGAAAAAAAAACTGACAAATTGGACTTCATCAAATCAAAACTTTTGTTTTGCAAAAGACCCTTTTAGGGTAAAAGATTGGGATAAATATTTGCAGATATTTTATTTTGTAGGCTTTTTATTACTGAGCTGTAAGAGTTATTATATATTCTGAATACTAGACTCTTATCAGACATAAGATTTGCAAATATTTTTTCCCTGTGGGTTTTCTTATCAGAAAACCATAAAAAAACAGAAGAAAGTGGCACAACATTTTAAAAGTGGTAAGAGAAAAGAACTGTCAACCCAGAGTTATATATCCAACAAAAACAACCTTCAGGAATGAAGGTAAAATAAAGATATTCTCAGATAAAGGCAAACTAATAGAATTCATAGCCAGCAGATCTGCTCTATGAGAATTGTTAAAGGAAGGTCACTGGACAGAAGAAATATGACAAAAGAAGTAAACTTGGAACACTGGGAATAAAGAGTAATGGAAATGATAATTATCTAGATAAATATAATAGACTATTCTTCCTGTCTTAAATTCTCTAAAATATATCTAGTGGTTAAAAGTAAAAATATATAACAATGTCTGATGGGATTTTCAATGTATATAGATATGCTATAACAGCTATTGCATAAAGGGGAAAGCATAAAAGATCTATATGGATATAAGATTTCTACATTCCAATTGAAGTGTGAAAATATTGATTCTTTTTGTAATCTCTAAGAAATCACTAAAAAATTATACAAAAAATAGTCAAAATCACAATAAATAAAGAATACTAAAAATGTTCAAGTAACTGAAAAGAAGGTAGGAAAAGGAAAACAAAGGAATAAAGAGAGGAAAAAGTGGAAGACAAATAATAAAATGGTAGACCTAATTCTAAACATATTAACAATTGCACCGATTAAAAGATAGATTTGCAGAGTGGATCAAAAAACATTTCTCAACTATGTGCTGCATATAAGAAAACTCAGTTCAAATATAATTATACTAGAGGCCTGGTGCATGAAATTTGTGCACTGGAGAGGGGGTGTCCCTCAGCCCAGCCTGTGCCCTCTTGCAGTCCGGGAACTTTTGGGGGATGTCCGCCTGCTGGCTTAGGCCCACTGGCAGTCAGTCATCCCTCTCGCAGTCTGAGACAGCATGGAGAGTATTATGCTAAGTGAAATAAGCCAGTCAGAAAAAGACAAGTATCACATGATCTCACTCATATATGGAATCTAGTGAACAAAATAGATTCAGAGACATAGAAGCATGGAACAGACTATCAAATCTCAGAGGGAAGGAGGAGGTGGGTGGGTGGGTGGGAAGAGATCAACCAAAGAACTTGTATGTATATATGCATAACCCATGGACACAGATAATAGAGGGGTGAAGGCTTGGGGTGGGGGGCAGGTGTGGGCTAGAAGGGGACAATGAGGGAAAAAAGGGAATATCTGTAATACTTTCAACAATAAAGATTAAAAAAAGAAATAAATGAGAAGACATAATATGTTTATAAATTAGAAGATTTGACATGGTTAAAGATGCCAATTTCTCCCCAAGTAATTTATAGATTTAATGCAATACTAACCAAAATCCCAGCAGGATTTTTTTTAAGATATAGGCAAGCTGATGCTAAAATTTACTTGGAAGAGCAAAGGAACTAGTTAAAACAGTATTGGAAAAGAAGAATAAAGTTGAAGGAATTACACTACTTGATTTTAAGACTTACTATAAAGCTATAGTGATTAAGGCTAAAGAGATAGAAAATAAATCAATGGAACAGAATAGAGAATCCAGAAACAGACTCACAGAAATATGGCCATCTGATTTTTGACAAAGGTGCAAAAGAAATTTAATGGAGAAAACAACCACTCATCATAACCAGAGCTGGGGACATTGTGGTGAACAAATCAAAGAATAAATGCAAACAGCAAGTAGATGATAGACTAATGCTAAGACTCTCAGGCTTCACCTGAAAAGCCCCAGATCTGACAACAACTGTTGTCCCCATGGCAACAATTAGCTAGCATTGAGTGCTAGCAACTCCTCTACACAGTACCTGCATGTCCCAGTGTGTCACAGCTTCCATGGCACCTGTTTCTCTTGACCCCATGATCCATCAGATGCCATTTATTATCTCACTTGCATGGTTAGAACTAGAAACATGTTGTTTTTTGGTTTTTTTTTAGAAATATGTTCCTCTATATTTATGTTTCTGTTAAAAGGTGGAGGAAGAAAAAAAAGGGTAAACTATGAGTTTTAAGAGAGGATATTTTTCTTTATAGAAAGACAATACAGTGGGGCCTTGACTTACGAGTGTCCCGACTAACGAGTTTTTCGAGATACGAGCCATCTCTCGGCCGATTTTTTGCTTTGAGTTGCGAGCTAAAATTTGGGTTATGAGCCAGCTTCAGGTACCCCACCGCTAGTTGGCGCAGCGAACGTCACAGTGAACGCCACAACATCAGCCCAGTATCACGTGTCTCACTCGTTCACTTTATGATTTGACATACGAGTAATTTGAGTTACGAGCTCCGTCACGGAACGAATTAAACTCGTAAGTCAAGGCCCCACTGTATATTATCACTAGAGGCCCAGTGCACAAATGGGTCCCTGGGCGTGGCCTGCGGGAATAGGGCTGAAATCGGCATCCAACATCCCCTGAGAAATGTGGTAGTGAGTGAAGTAGCAGGCGGCTGGGAAGGAGCTGCTCCTGCTCATCCCGGCCCCACTCAACCCGGTCAGCTGAGCATCTGGCCCCCGTCTTCCACTGCAGCCCCTTGCATCTCCTGGTCTGCCACACCCAGCTATGGAGAAGTGTGTTCCTAGGGCGGAGCTCCCGCGGCCTCTCTGGGGGTGCAGACTGAGGCTCAGAGAAATGGGGTGAGTGCCCAAGGGTAGCCCAGGGCAGATTGAGGAGTCGCGGTAGCTGCGTGGCCAGGCTGCCCACTTCGTGTGCCTTCCTGCAAGTCCTGGGGTGGCTCCAGTCTGATAGGAGGAGGTGGGTGCTAGGGATGGAGTTCGCAGTCTCTTTTTTCCCTCCCTCCATCCCATGGTCCTGGCTATCTGGGGAGTACGCAGCTGGAGGGGTTGACGGAGGTCGGGGTGCCGCGCCTCCCTGGGGAGCAGTGAAATTTGGGCAGATAGCCTGGCCTCTCAATGAGAACTGCAGCTCAGCCCCACCTACTTGCAATCTTTCATAGACTAATCGCCTGTTTCTCTTTTCATCTGTCCAAGTTGACTGACCCCTGGTGGTCAATGTACATTACAGCGACCAGTCGACCGGTCGCTTAAGCTTTTATATATATACTAGAGGCCCGGTGCATGAAATTCATGCACGGGAGTGGGGGGGTCTCTCAGCCTGGCCTGCACCCTCTCGCAATCCGGGACCCTCTCGGGGGATGTCCGACTGCCGGTTTAGGCCTGATCCCTGCAGGAATGGGCCTAAACCGGCAGTCGGACATCCCTCTGGCAATCCGGGACTGCTGGCTCCTAACTGCTTGCCTGCCTGATCGCCCCTAACCACTCTACCTGCCTGCCTGATTGCCCCTAACCACTTGCCTGCCTGCCTGACCGTCCCTAACCACTTGCCTGCCTGCCTGATCGCCCCTAACTGCTCACCTGCCTCCCTGATCACTCCTAACCACCTCTGCCTTGGCCCCCGCCGCAGTGGCTTCGTCCGGAAGTATGTCTGGAATGACGTCCAGAAGGTCATTCGGCTGTCCGGTCTAATTAGCATATTATGCTTTTATTATTATAGACAGACTAGAGGCCTGGTGCACAAAATTTGTGCGGGGGGGTCCCCTCAGCCCAGCCTGCACCCTCTCACAATCTGGGACTGCTGGCTCCTAACTGCTCACCTGCCTGCCTGCCTGATGCCCCTAACTGTCCCCCCTGCTGGCCTGGTTGCCCCCAACTGCCCCCCCACTGGCCTGGTCGTCCCCAACTGCCCCCTCCCTCCGGCCTGGTTGCCCCATGCAGCCTGCTGTTTAGTCATTACTGTTACTGTGACGGTGCCCCAGACAATTTGCATGTTCCTCTATTATTAGTATAGATGCTCAAATATGTATATATCACCCTTTAGCTTCACTTATAAGTGTTGCCTAACTCCTAGACTGGTAGGAAAAACATAAACAAAAAATGACATAAATAGTCACAGATATAGAGCTAACTGTCTAGGACACTGTCGGAGGTAGGGTGGAGTGGGGTGGTGCCTGGGCATCTGAGTCTGAAAGGTCCCAGGAAGGCTCCCGTATGGGAGCAAAAGCCAAAAAGATCATGGATCATGTGATACCAGACCTCTCAGTGTATATACCAGGTAATAGCACCCTCTGCACATTCCATGACTTTCTCATTTACACGCTCTTCTGTGAGACTTCTTGAGAGCATAAATTAGTATGTATTTTATGCTTCTTTGTGTCTCTATGGTTTAGTACAGTGTCTGACATGTTTTATGTATTCAATAATTTAAAAATTATTTTTAAAATTTAATGTTAACTTATTTTCCTTCTTTAAAATCAAGAACATTGCATATAAAACTGACTTCCATTCGACCAATTTCCCCTAATCTTTTTCTTCTTTTCTCCTCCTCTGTGTGATCATTATGTGTCCTTCTCAAACAGTAAAACACTTTGCAGTTTGCATACAAAACCCATGAAAAACCTAGTGTTTATTTCATTTTACATATATGATATAAACATTTATATCATCTTGCAACTTGCTTTTATCAAGATCCCATTAGAGATTTTTCCAGGTTGATCGCTGTACTTCTAGATAGAACTTGTTCCTTAATTTTGCCTGCTTTATAGTACCTCATTGTATGAGTCACTGTATCAGGTTTCCTTTCTTTCCTCTCTCCCTCTCTTAGTGGGTGATCTTCCAGTGCATCATGCTTTATTTATTCATTATGCTACTGATGGACACTTAGCTTGTCTCTGATTTTTCACTATTGTAATTATTCAATAACAGTATTCATACTGAAATCACTGTATAATTAGGCTACCCACACACAAAAGTTTGACAAAAAATAGTTTCATTACCAAAAAATGCAGCTGGAAAGAACCAAAGGAATTGTGAAAAATGCATAATGCCTCTAAACACAAGCTGTAGAGCAAGGTTAGGTTTTCCAAGCCATAGTTTTAAATAGCAGGGGAAGGGTAAATCAGTAGCTTGGTCAGACCCAACAGAATTGAAATTGGTGGGTACAACTGGGGTACTAACTCTGATAGACAATGCTGCCACACAGTGCACTTAGGATAAAGACTCTAAACCAATGGGTCAGACCAATAAGGAAGACTTCTATTCCTGACAAACCTGGTTATTCAATATTGCTAATGTATGTCAGAAGAGACCCTAAACAGAAAAGGGATCACCCTCTATTACTTCATGTTAATTTTGGCCATGTGCCAAAGTTAACTTTTGGGAAATTTAAAAAATCAAACAGTAATTGATGCTTGCGTTTAATTCAAGGTTAGGCCTAAAATGCTGTAACATATCAATTCTGATTAAAAATATGCAGAAAGAGCAAAGGATTTCAAAGTGTTCAACAATATAAATCATTTTTATTATTATTCAAATAATTTCACAATCTATCTTTAAAGAAGAGATGGGCAATGTAGCTTCACCACAGTTAATCTAAGAAAACAGATATTACACGTGCAACTTTCCAAGTCCTTGTTTTAAACACCAACTCAAAAACTCAGAAAGAGAGAGGGCCCTAAAATTAAAAATAAATTCTGAACATTTGTAATTAGAGGCAACACAAGGAATAAAATTAGAATTCTTACAGACTATGTGTCTTAAGGTATACATCAGGACACACACACACACACACACACACACACTTTTGTATTTAAGTTACAAAGCATAATTACATAGGGAACTCCTATGGACCACACCATGCAACCTCAACACGAGATAATCCCAAGGATATACCTCTCCCTGTGTGTTCTTCCCTATCCCACTACTCTGCCTTATCTCCCCAAACTCCTACCTCCAAGAAATAATCACTGCCATTTTTGTGACATTGGTAAGAAGGAACTACTGGGAACATTTTTAAGAGTGAAATTACTGCAAATTCACCTTGAGTAGAAAAACCAACATATCTATCTCCTATTCATAGAGCATTGACAGACAGCAGCATCCCTGCTGCTATGCAATCTTACGTGGGCACCATCCCTATTAAAAATATGAGTTATGTTATTCTCTTAAAGTCTTCACACAATTGATTTTTATGACCTCATCCTCAAATATTCTATTAAGCTGATCAAAATAAACCAAATTTTATTTATTTAGATAGTTAATCCTCACCTGAGGATATTTTTCCATTGACTTTGAGAGAGAGTGGAAGAGAGAGAAGACAGAGAGAGAAATATCGATGTGAGAGAAACACATTGATTGGTTGCCTCTTGCATACACCTCGACCAGGACCAGGGCCCGGGAGGAGCCTGCAATCAAAGTGTGACCTTGACCAGAATCAAACCCGGGACCCTTTGGTCTGCAGTCTGATACTCTATCCACTGAGCCAAACTGGCTAGGGCTTTCCACTGATTTTTAGAGAGAGTGGAAGGGAGGTGGAGGGAAAAAGAGAGAGAGAAACATGGATGTGAGAGAGATTGACATAAATTGATTGCCTCCTGCATGCACCCCGGGCTCCAACCTGGGCTGGGGATTGAGCCTGCAACTGAGGTACGTGCCCTTGACGGAATTGAACCCATGACCCTTCAGTCCAAGGGCCGATGCTCTATCCAATGAGCCAAACTGGATAGGACAAAATAAACCTAATTTAAAAAAATCCTCACCTGAGGACATGCTTAGAGAGAGGACAGGAGAGAGAGAGAGACATCAATGTGAGAGAGAAACATCGATTGGCTGCCTTCTGTAAATGCCCCAACCGGGGATGGAACCCACAACCTGGGTATGTGCCCTGTCCAGGAATGGAATCTGCAACATTTTGGTGCACAGGGCAATGCTCAACCAACTGAGCTACTCTGACCAGGCTAAATAAACTTAATATTTTTCAACTTCTGAAAATAAAGATGTTTAAGCATACCACAGCATACCACTTTATTAGAAAACAGTTCAAGAAAAGATTAAAATACTTATTAGGCAACTTACTTCATGTAAATTCAGTTCTTTTACTTTCTCTTTTAATATAACCTGTAAGACAAAAAGTATGTTTTTATGCCCATTTGTGTCTGTAATTAAAAAAATTTCTCATACTTAGTTTTCTTTGTATATATAGCTAATTTCCCCTCTTATTTAGTATTGAAGTGAATTTCTTTTACAGTTTGAGATAGAACATTTTATCAACATTCTTTGAAATTGAACAATGATGCAATATTCTTCTGGAAAGCAATTTTATAGTCTCTTTGACAATAGATTAAATTTTGGGAAAAGACATTAACACATGCCCATATAGACTAAGTACAAACACAGGGTAGGAAATTGACTGCCTTATGGTTCAGTAAAGCACAGCACTGACTGATGGGATTAACTAATTAGTAATTATTAAAGATTAAAAAGTAAAATCAATCTTAATTTTAGAAGTTTTGCTCATTATTATACATTCTCTCTAGAGTTATGTAAATAGGCTTAAAACTTATCCAGGTGCTGTTTCTAATCTGACTTTGCAGTGACTGAATATCAGTTAAAAGGAATGCCAAATGACAAGAGGGCAAATGACTACTTAAATTGAAAAGTTCTGAGAATAAACTTAGCTTATTAGAATTATATGTCATCTTCAAGTGAAAAAACAGACAAGTGAAATTTGGGAAAAATCTCTATTTTGAGTATCTTATATACCTGAATCAAAAATAGTTTTGAGGGCAAATCACATTTTCAGAAATCACAACCAAAAGCTACCATCTAGCTATGCAGGAATGTATTACATTTCAAAGTCAGTATTTTTTAAGGACAATTTTTACCATATTTTGTGACTTTAATAGTTCTATCAGTCAATTTCACCTTTTAAATGACCAGCAAGGCCAATTTTACTTTTAAAAAAAATATATTTTATTGATTTTTTTTACAGAGAGGAAGGGAGAAGGATAGAGAGTTAGAAACATCGATGAGAGGGAAACATCGATCAGCTGTCTCCTGCACACGTCCCACTGTGGATGTGCCCGCAACCAAGGTACATTCCCTTGACTGGAATCAAACCTGGAACCCTTCAGTCCACAGGTTGATGCTCTATCCACTGAGCCAAACCGGTTAGGGCCAATTTTACTTTCTAGTTAGCTTTTTTTACATACAAATATCTTGTAGGTTGTCAAGATCGTGAAAGAACTGAGACAAAAAGATTCATTTATTTAGAAAACTAAAACATTCCAGTCTGTGTATGAATCCCACATGAGACCTATAGGGAAGAGTGTGGGGTTACCTATGACATCAATGTCAACATCTAAGAAACTCGCCCATGAGCTCATATTTCAGAGACACAGACAAAAGATGGACAAAATGATATATAATCCTAAACTGGTGAGATGGTTCTATAACATCATGTCATAAAGGTTAAAGACCAAAATAAGCTGCAGCTTGCCCCACAAAAGCTGAAGCTTTTTCCCCAAAAAGCTAAGAACAACAAAATAATTTCACGCTTTGGTTCAAAAGAAAAGGAACAACTAGGCCCACTGTTTGGTATCAGTGGTAAAATGTTAATGGATGACACATGTAAGAAAAAAAGAAATTTTACTTTGCTTTCAAGTAAAGCTGTTTATTACTTTAAAGAACAAATCAGTAAAGGGACAGTACAAAGGGGCAAGGGTTACCAGTGATGATCCAAGTAGACTTCTAGTGGTATGACATTAGCTAACATTTAAAGTACAAAAGGGGAGGAGATGAGATCACTAGAACAGAGCTGGTCATCTCTGAGGAAGTTGTATGTTTTTAATGAGGGAGGTAAAAAAATTATTTAATGGAATCTCATCTATATATATAAAAGGCTAAGTGACCGATCGTAGGTCTGTCTGACCAACTGGCCGGTACACATGATGGGCACTGGCAATTTAAAAATAAATGTTGACTAGCACATATGTGATACATATAAAGCTCTCGCTAGTGCCAATCACACGTGTGTGTTTCTATCTGTCATCGTTGATCGTGAATTTGGTTGTTTTTGTTGACACTCTGAAGCTAAAAGAAAGTGGCTATCATGTCTTTGTTGTTATTATATCATGTTGTTATTTATTAATTTATATATTATTTTCATATACACTTTACTAATTTTCTTTCATCTCTGATAGTTCTATTATAGAGAAAGGGAGAATAGCGATATTAAAATATTTCTTCTAATTAATTTCCTTTCAATGTGCATGAATCCATGCACTGAGCCACTAGTTTAATATAACCTTTAAGAATTATAAGCTACAGCATTTCTCTTTAGCAAAATGTTAGCTTAAGTTCCCTGTTAAACTATATTATTGTATCATGTGAACTTTCTATAACTTCAAATAATTAGAAAGAAGAGTACTTAAAGTTGATCTATTTTTACTGTAAACTGGCAAATAAAATGCTAAAATGAACACAAGTCCTAGTTTAAAATGAGTGCAAATCTGAGTTCTCATTTTTTGGGTACAAAACACTGTCAAAGTCAATCTGAAGTAAATTTCTCACCTGTTTATAGGCATAAAATTCTTTGTGTGCTTGATGTCTTAGCCTAAAAGACAAATGAACAATGTGATATTGAGATTTCCAAGACAACAATTTGAAAAAAATAAGGAAACTGCTAATTTCGGTATCAGTTTATATCATTTATAGTTTAAAATCCAGAGTCTTTATCCTGGAATACACCCAAATGACACATCTGTTACATGTCATGAGTAAGTGAACAGTGAACCATAGAATGATATCTAAATGTAAATTCAAGTAAAATCTCATTAAAACCAAATCTCATTAACACAACAAATATTTTAATGAAGCCTCAATTTTTTTATGTTGATGATAGTCCACTTGTTTCAATATTTAATATACATTTTTTATTTAAAATTTTAAGTATAATATACATCTAATAATTACAAAAACCTTAAGAATTAAGTGAATTAAAAAATACACATACACATTTATATATACCAGTGTAACTATCACCTAGTCAAGATACACAACATTTACAGCACCCCTTCAATGACTACTCCCGATCAATATCCACCCAAAGAGGTCACCACTATCCTGATTTCTATCATTATAGATTAACTAGGGGCCCAGTGCACGAATTCGTGCACCTTGAAAGGAACTGTGGGCTGTGAGGCTGCAGTAGGCACAGGGTTGGGTCTCAGACCATCCTCGGTGACCCCACCCAACCCCTCCCTCTGTCCCGTCTGCAGGCAGCCCCACTTCCGCCGCCACCGCTCCCACGTGCTGACAGCGCAGACGATTGGGGCCGGCACCGTCAGTGGGTGCGAGTGGTGGCTGCTGCCCCGATTGCCCCTCAGAGCAGGGGGAGGTGGAGAAGCCCTTGGGCGATCAGGGCCAGCAGCTGCCGCTCACACCCGCTGATGGAGCTGAATGATCAGGACTGGTGCCGGGCACCAGCAGCGGGTGGGAGTGGTGGGTCTGGCACCGGCTGTGGGTGTGAGCAGGCCCAACGCCGGCAGCAGGTGCAAGTGCCGGGCAGGACTGCAGCACACAGGAACAAAGTATTTTCAGTAACCACCAGAGGCTCATCCCAATGACAGCGACCGGCGCCCCACCTTGGTCTGGTTCCCCCACTCACCTGCTCCACCATCCTGTTGCAGCCAACACCTGCCATGTTCCACACATGCCCCCTGGTGGTAAGCGCACGTCATAGCGACCAATTGTTCGGTTGTTCCGCCGTTTGGTCTATTTGCATATTAGCCTTTTATTATATAGGATGATGCTTGTTTTTGAACTCCACATAAATGGATCATTTGGTATACACTCTTTTGCATTGGCTTCTTTCAGCCAACAGTTACTTTTGAAATTTATGTTGTTGCAGTAATTCTCTTTTTGACTGACATATAGTGTTCCTTTGTATGAACACTATAAATATAATTTATCCATTCTACTGTTGATATTTAGATTACTTCCAATTTTAGGCTATTATGAATAAAGCTGCTACACAAATTCTTCTATGTGTCATTTAGTGGACATATAGACTCATTTCTGTGGAGTATATACCTAGGAGTAGAACTGTTGGTCCAAAGTGCTTGCACCAATTTCTACTCCTGTGGGTAAAGCATGAGAGTTATAGTTGTTCCACATCTTTGCCACTGCTTTGTAAGGTCGGTTCAAAAATTTTAAGCCAATCTAGTGGGTATTTAGTGGTATCTCATTTTGGTTTAAATTTGCATTTCCCAAATGGTGTGCAGAACCCTTTCATATGCTTATTCCCAATTGGATATCTTCTTTTATGAAATGCCTGTTTGATTTTTTGCCCATTAAAAAAAATGAGTTGTTTACCTTTTTCTTATTGATTTATAGGAATTCCTTATATATTTTAGATGTGAGTCCTCTGTTTGGTCTGTGTACTGTAATTATCTACTCCTACTCTGGGGCTTTTGCCTTTTCATTCTCCTAATGGTATCTTCTGATGAACAGAAGCTTTTATTTTAAATTAAGTCCAATTTATCAACTAGTCCCAATAATGTCAGTTCTTTTTGTGTCCAATTAAAATAACCTTTGCCTACCCCCAGATCATGAAGATATTCTCTTGAAAACAATTTATTTTACCTATTACATATATATATATATATATATATATATATATATATATATATATATATATAATCTGAAATTAGTCTTTATGTATGATTTGAGGTAGAGGTCAAGATTCTTTTCATCCACATGCAGATTTTTGTTTGACTCATTTATTACAAAGATCCTCCTCCCCCACTGCATTGCAGTGGCACATCTGTTGTAAGTCAGACACAATATGTGAGTCTGTTTCAAGAGTTTTTATTCTGTTCCATTGGTCTATTTGCCCATATTTGTATACTAGGTTGAACAGTGTCCCCTTAAAAATTATATCTAACTGGAACCTTAGGATATAACCTTATTTGGAAATAGTATTTGCAGATTATTTAATTAAAATAAGGTCATACTGGATGTAGGGTGCATATTGGATTTAGGGTGGAAATACAGACACAGGGAAGAAAGCCAGGTGAAGACAGAAACAGAAGTAATGCAGCTATAAGAGGCAAGGAAGGATCCTACCCTAGAGTCTTCAGAGGGAGCATGGCCCTGCTGACACCTTGATTTTGAAATTCTAGCCTCCAGAATGTGAGATTAAATTTCTGTTGTTTTAAGCCACCCAGTTTGTAGTAGGTGGTTACAGCAGCCCTGGGAAACTGATGCACCTTGTTTTCAATACCATGCTAGGTTTTTTTTTTGGTTTGTTTTTTTAAAAACTTGTATTTTGAAATAATTTTAGATTTACAGAAAAGTTGCAAAGAGTTCACATATACCTTAGTCCCAGTTTTTCCAATGTTCATATCTCACACAACCATAGTACAAAAATCAAAGTAAATTAACACTGATATATTGATTCAATGTTGATATATCAACAAAATAAGAGACTTTATTTGAATTTCACCAGTTTTTTTTCACTAATATCCTTTTCCTGTTCTATGACCCAATCCATGTCTCCTTAGCCTCTTCCAATCTGTCGCAGGAGCCTTAGTTTTTTTCTTTCAAGATTTTGACATATTAACCATGATCACTTGTTCATGGAGTGTCTACTGGGTCTCTCCACTGTAGTTATTTTCCTTTTTGAAACTGACCAACATCTTGGGGGAGAGATGTTGAAACTATGTAAAATCCTACTTATTCTCAAGCTTTTGCCCACTGATTCAGCACTCATCTTGCTTGCAACAATTACTGTAGTGTTTGCCTGGTGGTGGCTTTGTAGTTTCCTAATTCCTTGCATAATTATTAACTGGAATTCTTCTGTAAGGAACATAAGTCCCTTCTCCCTCATTTGTTTATATCACTATGACTCATGGATATTTGTTTTAGTCTATGGGTTAGAATTCAATATGATCATTATTTATTTTATTGCTCACATTGATTTAGGTTTGGCCTTTAGGAGCTTCATTGGATTGACTTCTGTGTCCTTTTAATGTGCCCTCATCTTTTTCCATGAATTTCCTTGCTTATTAGCACTGAAAGATGTTTCCGGCCCATTTTGTAGTTTCCATGCCCCATTTGTGGAATTAGCCACTTCTTCCAAAGAACCTTGGTTCCTTTTACTGGAGAATAGTATTTAGGAAGCAGGATCTGGGTGCTAGGTGAATAGCACTCTGTTTTAAGTACTGGAGCTCTGTAACAAGTTTTGGGATCTGGTATTAGAAGTCCTCAAGCTTTGTTCCTAATGATTGTCTTGGCTACTCTTGGTCCTCTGCATTTCCATACCAATTTCATGAGCTTGTCAGTTTCCACAAAAAATCTATTGGGATTTTGACTGAGATTGTATGGAAGTTATAGATCAACTGGGGAAGAATATCTTAATTTCTCTTTATACATTTCTAGGTAGAACGCTTATATATCTTTCATTAGATTTATTCCTAGATTTTAGTAAGTTTTGATCATATATCTTTCATTAGATTTATTCCTAGATTTTAGTAAGTTTTGATCTACTATAAATTATAAATTTTTTTCATTTTCTAATTCATTATTGCTACTACATAGAAAAAACAATTTTTGTATATTGGTCCTGTATCTAATGACTTGCTAAGTTCACTTAATCTTCCTGTCTACAAATAATGACAGTTTAAACTCTGCCTTTATAATCTTTAGGTATTTTACTTCTTTATTTTTTATTTCATTTCTTTTATTACTTTTTTATTCTGCATTGGCTAGGACCTCTAATACAATGGCAAATAAAAGTGGTGACATCACTACTGGAGGTCAATGGAGGGGAACAGGGGACATATGTAATACTTTCAACAATAAAGATTTAAAAAAAATTTAAATGCATAAAATTATATAACTAAAAATAAAAACCCATCGCTATTAAGTATGATGTTTTCTCTAGATTTTTTGTGCACAACTTTGATTCAAATAAACAAAGTTCCCTTGTATCCTAGTTTTTGATTTTTAAAAATCATGAATAGGTATTAGTTTTTGGTGGTTTTTAAAAAATATGTTACTGATTTGAGAAAGGGAGAGAGAAACATCAATGAGAAACTTCAATCCGTGGCCTCTTGTATGCCCCCCACTGGGTATTGAGCCTGCAACCCATGTATGTGCTCCGACCAGGAATTGAACTGGTGACCTCCTGGTACATGGGTTGATACTAACCACTGAGCACACCAGCGGGACTCTATAAAATTTTTTCCCCCATCACTCCCCCTGCCATTTTTTTTTTTTTTTACTGTTAATGTGGTATATTGTGTTGATACCTTCATTCCTGGAATAATGTCCACTTGAAGATAATGTACTACCATTTTTGCATATCCCTGAATTTGATTTACTAATATTTTGTTCATGAGAGACATAAGTCTGTAAGTTCCTTTTTTGTAATGTCCTTGTGAGGCTTTGTATAATTTTAATCAAAATTATGCTGTCCCCATTATATTAGTTGAGTATTTCTTCTATTCTTTGGAAGTCATTTAAGAAGTATTGTTTTCTTTACTGTTTGAAGGAATTCACTGGTGCAATTACCTGGCTTGTAGTCTCTTTGTAGGAATGTTTAATAACACA